GACAAAGAGAGAATCCTAAAAGCAGCAAGAGATAAGCAACAGGTTGCCTACAAAGGAAACCCCATAAGGCTCTCAGCTGACTTCTCACAAGAAACACTACAGGACAGAAGGGAATGGCATGAAGTAATCAAGGTCATGAAAAACAAGAATCTGAATCCAAGACTACTCTACCCAGCAAGGCTATCATCCAAATAGAAGGTCACATAAAGAGCTTCCCAGAAAAAAAAAAAAAGGCTAAGGGAATACATTAGCACCAAACCAGCACTGCAAGAAATGTTAAAAGGATTGCTGTAAATAGCAGGAGAAATGGGAAGAAAAATAGAACCACACTAAACAAAAATGGCAATAAATAAGTGCATATCAATAATCACCTTAAATGTAAATGGATTGAAAGCTCCCATAAAAAGACACAGAGTAGCTGATTGGATAAGAAAGCATGACTCATTTATATGTTGTTTACAAGAGACCCACCTCATAACTAAAAAGACTCACATATATTTAAAGTGAAGGGATGGGAAAAAATCTTCCAAGCAAACGGAAAGGGAAAAAAAGCTGGGGTAACAGTACTCCTATCTGATAAAATAGATTTCAAAATGAAGGCCATGACTAGAGACAAAGAAGGTCACTATATAATATTGAAAGGATCTATCCAACAGAAGATATAACCTTGATAAACATATATGCATCCAATATAGGAGCACCAAAATATATTAAAAATCTTCTGGAGGACTTCAAAGGAGAAATCGATAGCAATACAATCATAGCAGGGGACTTCAACACCCCACTCACATCACTGGATAGATCCTCTAGACAAAAAATTAGCAAGGAAACAGACACTCTAAATGAAGCACTAGACCAAATGGATTTAATAGATATCTACAGAGAATTACACCCCAAAACTATAGAATTCACATTCTTCTCAAGTGCACATGGGACATTCTCAAAGATAAACCACATGTTAGGGTACAAACTAAGTCTACAAGTTCAAGAAGACTGAAATCATATCAAGCATCTTCTCAGATCACGATGGCATGAAACTAGAAATCAATTGCAACAAGAACATACAAAGAGATTTGAACACATGGAAGCTAAATAGCATGTTGTTAAACAATGAATGGGTCACCGAGGAGATCAAGGAAGAAATAAAAAACTTCCTGGAAACCAATGAAAATGAACACAGAGCAACACAAAATCTATGGGATGCAGCGAATACAGTTCTGAGAGGGAAGTTCAAAGCACTACAATCCTACCTCAAAAAACAAGAAAAATCTCTAATAGACTATCTAACCTCACAACTTAAAGAACTAGAGAGCAAACAAAAAGAAACCCCAGAGCAAGTAGAAGAAAGGAAATAGTAAAGATCAGAGCAGAAATAAATGACATAGAGACCAAAAAAACAATTCAAAGGATCAATAAAACAAAGGGCTGGTGTTTTGAAAAGATAAACAAGATTTATGGACCCTTAGCTGGACTCACCAAGAAACAAAGAGAAAGAACCCAAATACACAAAATCAGAAATGAAAGAGCAGAAGTAACAACTGACACCACAGAAATACGAAAGATCGTTAGCAACGATTATGAGCAATTATATGGCAACAAATTTGACAATCTAAGCAAAATGGACAAATTTCTAGAACACAGAGTCTCCCAAAATTGTACCAGGAGGAGATAGAAAACTTGAACAGACCAATAACAACAGAAGAAATTGAAGATGTAATCAAGACTCTCCCAAAAAACAAAAGCCCAAGCCCGGATGGCTTCACGGGGGAGTTTTACTGAACATTCAAAGAAGAACTAACACCCATTTTCCTAAAACTATTTCAAAAAATTTAAGAAGAAGGAAGACTGCCAAACTCCTTTTATGAAGCCAGCATAATTCTAATTCCAAAACGAGAAAAAGACACTACAAAGAAAGAAAACTACAGGCCAATATTCCTGATGAACATAGATGCCAAAATCCTGAACAAAATACTAGCAAATTGGCTCCAGCAATACACCAAAAATTTATCCACCATGACCAAGTGGGATTCATCCCAGGGATGCAAGGCTGGTACAATATTCGCAAATTAATAAACGTGATACACCACATAAATAAAATGAAGAATAAAAACTACTTGATCATATCAATAGATGCCGAAAAAGCCTTCCAAAAATTCAGCATCCATTTCTCATAATCAAGCTCAGCAATGTGGGAATAGAGGGATCATATCTCGACATAATAAAGGCCATATATGAAAGACCTACCGCCAACATCATACTCAATGGGCAAAAACTAAACGCATTTCCCTTAAGAACAGGAACAAAGCAAGGATGCCCACTTTTGCCACTCTTATTTAACAAAATACTGGAAGTCTTAGCCATAGCAATCAGACAGGAAGAAAAAAATAAAAGGGATCCAAATTGGAAAAGAGGAAGTGAAACTGTCATTATTTGCAGATGACATGATACTATACGTAGAAAACCCCAAAGACTCCCTCAAAAATTTACTGGACTTAATAAATGAATTTGCCAAAGTAGCAGGATACAAAATTAACGTCAAGAAATCGATGGCATTCTTATACACCAATGATGAAGTCACAGAAAGAGAAACTAAGAAAACAATACCATTTACCATTGTGGCAAAAAATTTAAGATACCAAGGAATAAACATAACCAAAGAAGTAAAGGACCTATTCGCAGAAAACTACAGGTCATTGAAAAAAGAAATAGAGGAAGATATAAAAAAGTGGAAGGACATACCCTGTTCATGGATTGGAAGAATTAACATCATTAAAATGTTCATATTACCCAAAGCAATCTATAGATTCAATGCAATCCCCATCAACATACCAACGGCATATTTCACAGAATTAGAACAAGTACTTCAAAAGTTCATATGGAACCAACAAAGACCTCAAATGGCCACAGCAATCTTGAAAAGGAAGCACAAAGTTGGAGGGATCACATTACCAGATTTCTGGTTATACTACAAAGCCACCATAATCAAAACAGCCTGGTACTGGCATAAGATCAGGCATATAGACCAGTGGAACAGAACAGAGAACCCAGAAATGGACTAAAGGCAATATGCTCAATTCATATTTGACAAAGGTGGCAAGAGCACACAGTGGAGTAAGGACAGCCTCTTTAATAAATGGTGCTGGGAAAATTGGACAGCTACTTGCAGAAAAATGAAACTAGACCATCAACCTACACCCTACACAAGAATAAACTCAAAATGGATAAAAGACTTAAATGTGACTCGTGAATCCATTAAAATCCTAGATGAAACTGTAGGCAACAAAATTTCAGACATTATATGCAGCAGAATTTTCACTGATACATCACCTAAGGCAACAGAAACAAAGGAGATAATGAACACATGGGACTACATCAAACTCAAAAGCTTCTGCACAACAAAAGATACAACCATCAAAATGGAAAGGCAACCCACTGTATGGGAGAGCATAATTGCCAATGATATATCAGATAAGGGGTTAATTTCCAATATATAGGGAGTGCTCATACAACTGAACAAAAGGAAGACAAAGAACCCAATTTAAAAATGGGCAGAGGAACTAAACAGACACCGCCCCAAACAGGACATAGCAATGGCTAAGAGACATAAGAAGAAATGCTCATTATTTCTAATCATCAGAGAGATGCAAATTAAAACAACAATGTGGTATCACCTCACATTTGTCAGAATGGCCACCATAAAAAAATCATCAAACAAGTGTTGGCGAGGGTGTGGAGAAAAGGGGACTCTACTGCACCGCTGGTAGGAATGCAGATTGGTGCAGCCACTATGGAAAACAATATGGTGTTACCTCAAAAAATTAAAAACTGAACTTCCATTTGACCCAGTGATCCCACTTCTAGGAATATACCCTAAGAAGCCTGAAACACCAATCAGGAAGAATATATGTACCCCTATGTTTGTAGTAGCACTATTTACAATAGCTAAGATCTGGAAACAGCCCAAGTGTCCATCAGTAGACGAGTGGATAAAAAAGCTGTGGTACATATACACAATGGAGTACTATGCAGCTGTAAGAAAGAAAGATCTCTTATCCTTTGAGAGGACATGGAGGGACCTGGAAAGTATTATCCTAAGCGAAACAAGCCAAACAGAGAAAGACAAGTATCATATGATCTCACTTATTTGTGGAATATAATGAACATAACAGTCTGAGGAATGGGGTAGTCCCAGAGACGTGTAAATGGGGTACAGACTGTCAATTCCCAGAAGAGGGGGTGGTGGGGGAGAGATAAACCACAGAACTTATATGCATGTGTGCATGAGCAGTGGACATGGACAACAAAGCTGGGGACAGGGAATGGAGGGAGGGGGAGGGGAAAATCAGTGGGGGAAAAAGGAGAAACATCTGCATCAAAAATTAATTAATAAAAACTAAATAAATTTAAAAAAAAAGAATAGTTTACTACAATAAATGCTGGCTAAATAGAAGTGCATATTGTGAAGCACCATGGGTGGTATATGTTTTGCCACATACTTTTGTTACTTTGAGGTAGATAACACATGTGTACCAAATTCAGCATTCATTTTCGGTTGCTGCTGGTATCATGTGTTTTAAGAAATGTGTACAGTATGAAACAACTTGAAAATACTCATGAATGAAAAATGTTTTAGGAGAAAAATAGATATTTTTATGCAATTATGTACAGTCTCACTGTGTAAATTTCAAGGCAAGATTTTTGTTTCTTGTAAAAGAGATCATTGTTCTATGAGAGAATGTTTACTTGTCTTAGTGCATTTCTTTTGTCTCCTCCTGCATTTCATTATTTTGCTGTATTCTTTACTTTTGTGTGCAAACGACATGCCAGTTAAAATGAAAACCATATCACATGTAGAAAAAAGTCTGGATTTTAAAAACCAAGAATAAAATCCTTTCTAAATGAAACCATCTGATTCAAGTAAAAAAATGACTTAAACACCAGTAATAAAAAAGACAAACACATTTCATAAAGAATACAAAGAGAAATGTCTGCTGAGTCTTTTAGTTCACATGTTTCAGAATGCTGCTGTATGTTTTATGAGGAATCTGAGGGGAAGATTTCATAGCAGAAGGTGTTAATGTGGCCTGTATTGACTTAAGTGGTGACCCACCTGGACTGTGAAACTGCGGGATGCCTATGGATTCAAGCTGCTTGTTAAAGAGGAACTCACCACTGTTATTCAGAAATCCTTCCTCATTTCCTCTCTCCCCAAGCTTCCCATCTTCTACAGGCTCAGTGTGTAGCATTTCAGTATCTTCTTTCCTACTAAAGAACTTGTCCAAATAACTGGTGTAAGTGTTTTCCTTCTCAATTTGTTCATCCTTCCTTACCTCACAACAAAACTGATTTATGAGAAAATATTCCTCCCCACTACCCACAAACTGGCTATCCCAAGAAGATTGGTACAAGGCTTCTAATTGAGCCAAATTTGCCATTCCTTTTTCCTGTTTTTCTCAGCTTACTGACTTTGATATCAAACTTTTCAATTCAAGTTGGGACACTGAGCTATTCGAGTCATTTAATTTATCAACAACATCAGTAGGCTCATGTTGTGAACTAAGTTAAATAGTTCCTGCAATAAAGGAATCGGAGTCAAATCCCTGGTTCCTTTCCCTTTCTTTTTCAGCCAGTTGCTGTGATGCTTCCCCTAGAGCTATCTGGGCTTTAACCAATCCATTCCTTTCACATTTTGACTTGCCTTTTTTATCAGATTTTTCTTTGCTTTGTTCTTTCCAATTGGAAAGATCTATAATAAGCTTGGGTTCATAGTAATGGTTAACTTCACTCTCTCTCCACACTAAGTTATCTAAATATGATGATGACCTCATTTTGTAGTTACAAGTATGGCTACACTCCAGATCACAATACTTGTTTTCATGATGATCTGAGTATTGCCAACAAGGCTCAGTGGAGTAATTGGTATCAAAAGCAGGATCCTCCAAATACTTTTCACGATCTCCATCCAAATATTTTCGAGGATCAACTTGTACTTCTTCTTCATCAGTGACATCAGACAGAACTCTTGGGTCATGCTGAACTTCATCAATATCAAAGTTGTTATGTATAGGCCAATCAAGCTCTGAAAACTGACAATCATGGTACCTTTCCCAGTTATAAATGTGACTGAGTTTCATCTATAAGCAAAATATCATCAACTTCATCTTCAATATGAAAAGGATGACTGGAAATTGGCTCATCCGTTGCAAAAGAATATATACTCATGTAAGGATGGCAAAACGCTTCTTCTGCTATCAACCAATCCATGGGGCTAAATGTCAAAATTTGTTCCAGGAAATCCAGTGCTTCTCGACTAATTCCTGGAAGCAGCTGAGTTAAAGGTTTGTGTGGCTCAGTCATATCATTTCTAATGTAAACTGGAATTACACTGAGAAGCTCCTGACAGTCTTCCTCATGAACAACAGGTACAGATTCTAAAATCAGATGCATCTGTTCAAGTTCATGTGCACCTGCAAAGAGGGTTTTACCAGTCAGCATTTCAGCAAAGATGCAGCCTGCAGCCCACATGTCAATGGTTTTAGTATAATTATTAGGAGAAAGTAAAAGATGTGGAAATCTGTACGATTTAGTAACCAATCCTTCAGAAAGATGACCCTTATGGGAATAATGGGGATCCATGATCCGCGCAAGACCAAAGTCACCTATCTTCAGCAGCAAGTCTTCACTTCAGTATTAATAAAAAGATTAGCTGGTTTGAGATCTCTGTGCAGTACATTTGCAGAGTGAATATATTTGAGCCCACGTAGCAGCTGATACATGAAAAGCCGGGCATGCTCTTCCAGTAAAGGGCTCTGCTCCAGCACATTAGCCAAGTCTGTCTCCATGTACTCCTGAACAATGTAAACACTGTTCAGTTCAGTGAGAGAGCCCACATCGTCTGTCAACTGGCTTCCACTAGGACCAAGAATTTCAAACACTTTCACAATGTTATCATGGTCAAGTCTTCTAATAATTTTGATTTCACGTAGAGCATGTTTGACACTCTGGGGATCAGTAAGGACAGTTTTCTTGATGGCTACTCTTTTGTCATAGTCATTGTCTACAGCAGAAAAAATCAAGCCATTGCCTCCACAACCCAATGGTTTTAAATCCATATACGTACCATAGAGCCCAGATCAAAACCATGAATATTCATGAGACTTTCAAATTTCTCTGCCATTTTGAAACCCTTACTACTGCCTTTTCCTTTTGAATTGTTGAACTTGTGTAAACAAGAAAGAAAACTGGCATCAAAAGGAAGGATCTTCCAAAAAGAGAGAAAACAATTTTGCTTCCACAGCAAGATGGTTTCTTGATGTTTATTGCATATGCCAACCAGGCTCATTGAGTTCCCCTCAGATTTAATGCTCAAAAAGCTCTCCTCATATTGAGAATTAAAAAGATTGCAGTACTCATAATTTAAGAAAGGGGCAGCAACTCTGCAGACATTTAAAGAAAACACTCGAGAAACTCAAACGGAATGAAATGACATACTATGCACTCAGCTTTACTGTGCTAAACAATTTAACATTTAACAAAAATGTGAATAAATATGCACACAACAGGCATCTATGAACATTCTCCTCACAGTGCAGATGCATTCAGTGTTGGACTCTGAGCAGCGTCTAAGGTGCTGGTAAGCACTATTTCCGTTTTGCTTCTTTTCTTCCTTTGTTGCTGTATATTTCAACGGGAAGCCCTGGCAGCTGTTGTTTAACAGAAGATGTCTTTTGTTAGTGATCAGGTGGCTCCAGCTCACCACAATCACAATCAAAGCTACCGTCCATCTTACTCTGATACAACCGGACTCCTCCGACTCGTCAGGGAGTGAGGGGCCCGCGGACAGCCCCTAGTGTCGGCTCAGGTCTCCGGCTGTGCTGGCGGCAGCGGCGTCTCCGAGGCTCTCGCTTTGCCGCAGTGGCCGCCTTGTAACCCCGACCCGCAAGAGAGGGCGAGGGAGAGGGGGCGGGCAGATTCATGATTTTTAAAAAGCATAAACTAATTTTGATGATAAATATATAAGAATATGTACTCAGGATATTTTATTGAAAATAAATAAAAACAACCATCAGTTTTTCCCAAATAAAAATCCATATATAGAGAGTCATGAGACCCTTTATCTTACATGTATAACTAACTTTTCCAAATCTGTTTATGAAATATTTTTATTCTATGACTACTGGTCTTTTGCAGGATCTTAAGCTTTCTTTCCTAGGATCAAAAATAAATGAGACTGAATCTGCATTGGCAGAAATTGAAATGGTAGCATCTAAGCATCTTCAGGGATTAGCTTTGCAAAGTGAGCAGTAGAGGCAATATCTTTGTTACTAAGGATTCTAAGTATCTTGTTTGCTCTTACGTAAATGTTCTCTACTAAATAAATCAATGATAATTTTAATTTTATTTTATTCTAGTCTTCCTTTTCATATTGCAAGATTTTCTCAAATATTTGCTCTTCCTTCCTCAACCTTGTTCATTAGATACGAGACACCATCTTATTTTATTTCAACAAACATTTTTTCAAGCCTCCTCTAAACTCCACCATATCATATTTGGTTCTTGTACAATGCTCTCTCACATTACCTTCTTCCTTACCTTTATAAATTCTTTAGAGTTTGTAATTCTATGTTTCTCAAATTATTTAATATATGTATATTTCCCCATGGTAGTGTAAGTTTTGTGAAGACCATCATATGAATGCATTTGTTTTCACATGATGTTAATATACTCAGAACATATAGTATGGTATGTATCACAACACTGCTACTCAGTGACCATTTTTGCATTATGAATTGAGTTAGTGAATATATTGACACAGTTTGGGACTTATTCCAGCCAATAATAAAGAGAATGTTACTTTGCTTTTCTTTGTTATTATTCCTTGTAAAAGATACATTCTTTTATTTTTTTTGATTTTTAGAGAGAAGAAGGGGGAGGGAGAGAGGGAGGGAGAAAAACGTTGATGTGAGAAACATTGGTCAGTTGCTTCCTGCACATGCCCAAACGAGGCTGGGGATCAAACCTGTCACCTAGGCATGTGCCCTTACTGGGAATCAAACCCGCAACCTTTTGGTGCATGGGATGGTGCTCCAATCAACTGAACCACACTGGCCAGGGCAGCATGACATTGTTTAGGGTTACATTTCTGAGAAGTTCTATGGTCTACAGCAGAATTTGGTTACTCAGGGTCTCCTAAGTATGATAAAAATTAGAAAAACTTTCAAAACCAACATATCTTCCTATAGAATGCTCCTCTGCCTATATTTTGGCTTTCTTGGAATACTTAATTTTTTCTTGTATTATGAAAAATTCAACTATATAAAGTTGTAGAGATAATAGTGCTGGGTATCAGCAGTCCAGGTTTAATGATGATCAATTCAAGGGCAATTCTGTATGCCCACTACTTAATCTTATATGCTCACTGGGTTATTTCAAAGATAACACCATATTTTGCTCATAAATATTTTATTTTGAAGATCTACAATAGAATGGCTTTTTAGAAACATAGCAACAATGTCATTACCACACCTAAAATTAGATAAATAATCCCCTAACACAGTAAGTGTTCAATTTCTCTGACTGTCTGACAAAAATTTTGTAAGGTTTTTTGTTTGAATGAATCCAAACAAAGCCTAGCATTTAATTGATATGTTTCTTTAGTTTTTAGTTTTTTGTTTTTTTTAAATGCATGGTCTTTCTGGTCTCTATTTTCCTTGCAAGCTATTTGCTGAAGAAACAATTATTTGCCTAGTAGAACATCCCCTACTCTGGATTTTGTTGGTTACATCCCTGTGATGTCATTTACTATGAGATTGTGTCCTGGGATCCAGAAAATAACACTAACACCAATTATAACACATTTTGACTGCTTACTATATGCCAAGCTGTGTGTGAAATGCGTGCTATGTAAGACAAAATGTAATCCTTCAAAATCCCTAGTTTTTATGTGATAAGTGCAAATCTGATATATTTTATGTAATTTTTAAATTATATGACTTTTATTTTTATTTTATTTTTTATGTTTTTATTGATTTTTTAGGGAGAGAAACATCATTGTGAGAGAATCATTGATCAGTTGCCTCCTGCACGGCCCCCAATGGGGAATCAAGTCTTCAACCTGGCATGTGCCCTGACCAGCAATCGAACCAGGACCTCTTAGTCCACGGGACAAAGTTCAATCCATTGTGTCACACCAGCCAGACAAATTATGTGACGTTTAAATAGTAAATATTAATAGAGCCATACTTTATGCACACAATTCGAAATAATTAAAATAACTTAAATAATTTTCAAGAATCACATAATTCAAAATCATAAGGACTGATTTCCAAGCATATTTATAGTAATGTTATGTGGTGATCCTCTTTTTAATTTTTAGCTGATAAAAAGAAATGATTGCTCTTGTTTTAGAACTGATTTTACTATTTTAAAATTATACGTATACTTTATAAATGAATCCCTCTAACAATACAAAGAACAATAACTATGCTTTTCTCAGTACTTTATGGGGAAGGAGTCTGAGTAGGGCAGCATTTGTATATTTCTGGGACACGGGTCATATTGACATTCAATATAACTTTTATATTACAGTAATACACACATACACACACACACACACACACACACACACACTACCTGCATAATGTTGAGTTTTTACCTCATGAATCATTGAAATTTAAAACTCTTCTCTGCATATTTGTGCATTTGCAGGTCACCTATGTTTTTTTCTCTTACTAATATTTTTATTTTATACATTTGGGATTGTAATTATTGATGTTTTGTTTTCTTTTTTTAATGCATTTTATATTATAGGTCCAGCACGCTTCCGCTGCGCCACTCTGCTAATGCATTTTATTTTAGAGTAATTTTAGCGTCACAGCATAATTGAGCAGAAGGTACAAGATTTCCTGTGTACACCCTGCCCTCACGTGCACAGCCTCCTCCATTAGTGACATTTCCTATCAGAGGGGTACATTGTTACAACTGATGAACATACACTGACACATCATTATCACCCAGAGTCTATGATTTACATTAGAGTTCACTCTTGGTGTTGCACATTAGATAGGTTTGGGCAAAGGTATAATGACATGTGTCTACCATTATAGTATACAGAGTATTTTCACTGCCCTAAGAATGCTCTGCTCTGTTACTTACATTACCATGATCCTCTCTGGTTCAGATTCCCCCATGTACTAATTTTAGTCTGCATTCTTCACTATTCTCTTACTTCGATCTCAGGTAGCTTTTTCTCATTGTCTTTCCCACCTCCTCCTGAAAGTAGACATGCATAAAAATCTGTTGCATATAACATATTTGACTAAAATTTTATGGGCCATAAGGAAACAACATATAATTTATTAGACAGTAAAAACCTAAAGTCATATGTTACAACGTTTTGCTCTAGTTCTCTTAGCAACCTCTTTACCAATAATATGTCACTGACTACTATACCCCACCTGTTCTCTCAGCCTAACCTGATCTCAGCCTCTTTCTAAAGAGGAAAAAATAAAAAAATTCTCCAGTTAATGTATGAAAAGAAATTTATGCATAACTCCACATTTGAATCTCCTTTATCATTGAAAAGCTCAAAAAACAAAAGTGCTTTTCAAATAATATGATTCATTGTTTTTAATAAATTAATTATGCATGTAACTACTAAAATTTTTCTTTTTAAAATTTTTATTTTTCAATTACAGTTGAAATTCATTATTATTTTATATTAGCTTTAGGTATATAGTACAGTGGTTAGACATTTATATAAAAAATTTATGGAATACTTCACAAATGTGCATGTCATCCTTGGGCAGGGGCCATGTTGATCTTCTCTGGATCGTTCCAACTTTCTAACAGGAGCTGCTGGAGTGTGCACTAGCGATGTTTTCTTACATATTTGTATACTATCTTTAAGGCACTCCTATATATCAAGAATATGCAAATTCTGTCAATAACTATGCGAAGTATTATTACAGCACTGTGGTTGAGAAAAACATGGCTCAGAATGTTAGATACTTAACCCCAGTGTAACAGAGTTTAAAATACTAGCTATAAGGTACAGAGTCCTGGATTTGGATTTAAGTTGCTTTGTACTAAACGATGCTGTATCATTCATTATGTCAATATTTGCCCCCCCACTCCCCCGTTACACTGGAGCTCCCTGAGGCCAGTGGTACGGACAGGGCAGCCTCAGCCTTCGGCAGCTCCCCCGCGATGGCGTCCTGGGTGCACGTGCGGATCGGGGACTGCAGAGCAGAAAGCTGAGGCGACGGGCTGAGGACAACTTCAAAGGCGCAATGACTCCCAGTCAGGCCACATCCCCTCGCAGAGTGAAGTGTTGGACACCCCCAGAGAGCCAGCGCATCCCCCAGTGATCCTTCACCCTGGAGGGTTTCCCCTGGAGACAGCGAATCTAGGGGAGGATCTGCACCCACAGCTGCATGATCCCAACTGTGTTGTATACCTCCGGTGATGTCCCTCACAGGCCGTGCTCTCCGTAGCCCGGAGAGGAGGAGAACAGGGCTGGGGACAGTGGGCTGTTCTGCGGCCCCCAGGGCTCACAGGGACACATGGCGCTTAGTGAGCCTGACTGGGCTCACTGCCCCAACCACCCTGCAGCCATCGTCACCCCGTCCTGGACACGCCAGGGTGGCACAGGAAAACCCACGTGGTTACCCGGCAGGACTTCACCCAGGGGGAGAGGCAAGCTGCCCCTGTGATCCAGGGCCCCGAAGTGTGCCTGCGGTTCCTACCCCACCCTCTCCGTCTGCCACTACCCCAGTAAGGACAAAGTGTTCGGTCCTCGGGTACCTGCACTACTGTCTGCTCTAATGCTCTCCTGACCCACTTCCACCTCTGCCTGGAGCATTCTGACCTCAGGGGTGAAGAGAAGACAGGAGAGCTTCCAATATTATCATTCATTTCTTACAAATTTAAAGTTTTGGGAAACTTTTTTACTTGCTGGTACCAAAATGTTGACTTTTGGTACTTTTGAAATTCAAATTTCCTTTCCCCTAACTTACTTTTCTGGTGTAACTTTTAAAGGCTGTATTACAATAAGCACGGGCTCCCTTCTCGGTTTTGTATTTCTGCTGTAACAAATCTCCACCGAGGGCAGAGGGTGTATGATCCTTACTGATGCCTGAACTGGGGGTGAGTGGGAGGGGCCAAGGGTGGGAACCGAATGAAGAGACATCTTAACCATCTAAGATATTACCAGGCTGCGTTTGGCTGCTCCTGTGTTACTGGGCATGAAAGGTGATCTGGGAGATAAGATCAAAGGGGCCTGAGGTGTAAGGTTTGCCATTCTTGGCCATGTCCTAGTCAGCCCTGAGGTGAAAGAGGGGAGTCCATTCAATAAAAACCTCATACGGAGATTTATTGTTTCCATGGAGACCGCAGATTAGGGTAACAAGGAATTAGGTAGCTATGGCCTGGCCCAGGAATTTCCATAGTAGGTAAGGACGGAGGAGGGGAAAAGTATCAGGAGGTGAGAGGGAGAATCCCAAGGGGTGTGTGAGCTCTGAGCCGATACAGCACCTTACGTCCCAGAGAAGAGATGACAGGAGGGGCACTGGAGGAGAGAAGGAATGTGATGGACTTGGCCACCGGATAGTGCTAGGTCACCGCACGTCCAGGCTTCTGCTCTTGAGGGTGGGCAGGGCACCTGCAATAACAGGAGGCCATGAGGTCCATAGGTCTCAGGAGGCTCCCGTGCTACCTTCTCGCTGTTTCCCATCACCCTTCAGCCACAAGTGGGGCCACAATCTCTTCCCACTTTCCTTCCTCCTGTGCTGTGTCTCCAGGTCCCAGCTGCAACACATCTGTATCCTCACCTTTCCTTCCGAGTGTGACTTACAAGGGCCCTTGGGGTCTGGAGGTGCCACCTGGGCGCAGGCCCTGGGTGATGAGGACGGTGCCCACCACGATGCCCACGAGGCCCACGGCCAGCCCCAGCGCGCAGACCACAGTCTCCGTCAGCTCTGACGTGGGGGCCGGAATCTCGGGCTCTGTGAACGGGAGGGTGGGGTGGGGTCAGCGTACAGAGCTCCTGTGCGTGTACATGGGCGGGGTGGGGAGGGGCTGGGAGAGAGTGCAGTCTCTCATGGGACATCCTTGAAGTGTTAGTTTCAGGTTCATGGGAGTTCGGGGTCACAGGCAGGACGCTCTGACCTGCCGGATTAAAGAAGGCCCGGAGCGGAGCTCACACGCACCCCAGTGCTTCAGCAGCGGCTGGTCCAGGCCCCAGTGCTCCACCTTGCAGTCGTAAACGTCCTCAGCGGACGGGAGGAAGGTGAGGTAACTGAACTTGAGGAAGGAATGATCACTTTTGGTGAGGAAGCTGGTTTCAAAAACACCCTCTGTGACTGCGTGCCCATTGCTCAGCCATGTGATGTTGATCACAGGAGGGAAGATGTTGTCTACGGCACAGATGAGGGTGTTGGGCTCACCCAGCATCACGGGAGACTTGGGGAACACGGTCACCTCAGGAACCTCTACGGTAAGGAAACAGCACTAGCATTAGCATCTCGAGTAGCTCTGCCCTGAGGTCCCCATGGCACCTGGAGGGGCCTCCCCCCCTTTCCCCATCGGTTAGTGGATCAGCTGGTTTCCCTCCTGCTGTGACTGCCTGCTCGCCATCCTGTGCCCTCTGTGGGTCTGCTGCTAAGTTAGGGTGTCTGTGGGAGCAGTCCTTGCAGGATCTGAGGATTACAATATGGGAGCAAGGATCTTTATAATACATGGGAGTATGTGATTCGTAAAAAAGGAGAAAATGAGGGTTCAGCAATTACCTTGAGAAGATCTGGGGACTCCTTGGAAAGGAGAGAGTTTTATTGAGTAGTGAAGGTTCTACCTGAGGGAAGAAGGGAGTGGGGCCTGCTCTGAGGGGTAGATTTAGTCAAGACAGATTGGTGGATACACACCATTGACAGCAGAGGTAAAGTTGAAGAGTTTAGGCAGGGTGTCCATGTCGTGTTTTTCTGTAGCAATGTTTGTCAGTGCAAACTGTGGGTCAAACCCTCCAAATGCGCTAAGCCCAGGCAGCCGCCACACAGTCTCCTTCTTCTCCAAGTCCACGTGGAACTCCTCGTCGCCATCAAACTCAAAGGTGTACTGCCCAGAGGAACCATAGGACTGGTAGAATTCTGCGCCATAGCTGCCAATGTGGTCAGCTGATGAGGGAGGGTGGAGGGCAGGGAGGTGGGAAACACAGGGAGAGAAAAAGACCTTGTTAAACCAAGTGACAGAGAAACTGACTTTCACACACTGTGGGCTCCACCTTGGGCAGAGTCTGCAGACACAACGCCAGTGGCCACCCGGTCCCCGTGGCTGTCCTGTGGGCATGCAGCCTGCCTTCCCACACCAACACCGCTGCACAAGAGCAGGCTCCACGGGCTTGTTGACTGCTGTCCCTGCGGCCCGCTCGGCGCCTGGCCCCGTGGGCTTACCATGAACACTGTCACAGGATGAAATGGAACGAATGACCATGGCATTAGCTTTCTGTCCCAGAGACTCAGGTCACCTCCCTCTGCTTCATATGTTTTCTCTCTCACTTAATTTCTTCATCAGTTAATAACACATTCATTGTGGGTCCTCTGCCTCAGGACTGGCTCAGAACAACATTTTGTATACATGGACTCCTTCCTTCTTTTATTTTTAAACCAAGTTAAAGCACATATGAGATTATTATTTTAAAAGTTTCCTTTAACTATTTTAGAATATAACAAAGGGTATGATAAGGACAGTGACAATACTACAAAATACATAAAAAGTAAGCAATGTTTCTAAGGTTTCTGCTTCTGTAACAGTGGTGATCCTTAGAGGAAAACATCTGATTTCCTCTACAATAAAAAATAAAAACTTTATTAGATTTTGCATTTCTGTTCTTTCCCACTCCTCTTGTTTTTCTTGAAGGGCATTACTAAACTTCTCCTTTTCAGACTCAGCAGGGACACGTGCGGAGGAGTCAAGGTAAAGTCTGGCCCCGCCGGAATGGACAGTGACCTGCGGCCCAGAGCAGAGGCAGCCCGCGCAGCTCCACCCAGGGCGCCTGATGGGCACTTGTCTGGGCTTTTCCCGTTTCCTCTCCCCCCCTCCCCTCCTTCCTGAGCGTCAACAAGGCCTCAGACCTTGTGAGGACCCAGGAGTAAAACCCGGATCCTGCCTGGTTTCTGCCACCAAGGAGCTTGTTGAACAGGGAGAGTCAGGTGTGTGAGGGGCCGAAGTGGGGTACTGTGCTGTGTCCCCCACAAATACCTCATCTGCCAATCAAACCAAATGACACCACCCTTTCATGTTCCTTGGTCTTTATAAGGGTCTGTTTTTCTCCCTAAAATTATTTTGTAGGATTTCCTGGACACCTCCAACCCTGGAGTTCCAACTCTGGAACTTCCTGCTTAGTTACCAACTCCCTCGCTAAGTCCTCTCAGTAAGTGTACTTTTGAGCACGTTAGGATCTCCAACCCTCCAGGCTACATCCTTCTCTGCACGTTTATCCTCACCCCACCCAGCACCACCCCCTTGGTCACTTCAAAGGCCCCCTTGAAGGCTCCCAGTCCTTGTAGTGAATCTTCTCGACTCCATTTTCACAGGGATGTGTGTCTGCTCCTGCATCTGCAGGGCCCCGGCGGCAGGCACACCGCTGCTGGGACAGCCTCGCTGCGGGGCAGCTGGACGGGCTCCCTTCACAGCTTCAGCCTCTGGCCCACTGTCCTGCTCAGCAGGGGCCTGCTCCGGGCACCAGGCTGTCTGCATGGCCCACCCAGCACCCCTGGGGCGGGCAGCGTGTGGGAACACCCGGCACTGAGCTCGGGTGTTCACACTGTGCATCCAGGGTCAGCTGCGTTCCCCAGGACGGCAGACTTTGGGGAAGACTCACAGGCACAAAGTGACCTGGGCCCGAGGCTGAGGCGACTGGATTCCATTCTTATGTCGGCCTCTTGGCTGAGGCGACTAAATGACTCCATTTTTATCATCAGTGGACCTTCCTCGATATTTTTCCAATAGTAGGTTAATTACCCCCAGAAGTAAAGGAATTTTGCCTAAGATTATAGTTGCCCCACGTGTTGGGAGGCATTTGCAGTTTCCAGTATTGGTATTTGCAGGCATTTGTGAGCCCGGTGAATAATGCTAATTTTGACCTTCTGTAATCACTGTCACGCCCACTATTGTACCAGTCCCCTGAGGAAGGGGGGAAAAGATCGGACTAGCAAGAAGTATCGGGGCTGCTGATCTGAGGGGAGACTAGGCCCTCCTCAGTCCGCGGGCCAGAATAAAGCGCTCCTTTACAATTTGGCTGTGCGTCTCTGGTTATCTCGCTGACACATTATAACAAAAGGTGGCAGAACCCTGTGGGAGTTAGACTCAGCGGTGACCCTGCTGCATTATGATTTGTGAGCCCCAAGCACTACTACTTAGGTGGGGACTTTATTTTCCATAAAAATATTAAAAAGTCACATTTTAGGACCATACTGGTAGAAAGACAAATATAATCCAGATTATAATCCATGCTAAATTAAAACAGTTTCTTCTACCCTAAAAATTCATTTTTCCTTCTAATTCTAAAAGAAAGTAAAACATGTTCCTGCGACCCCACAGGTTCGAAGGCACCCGGCCCGGTGCCCCCGTGGTTGATGGGACTTGGAGCCTTAGCAGGGCTCCTGGAGCGACTCTGACAGGGAAGTGTGGCCTTGCCCTGCAGGACCAGGAGAAGCGCTCACTACCAAACCAAGGATGGCGCAGCCCTGCTTAATAAGCCCTTGAAGATTCACCTCCGTTTCTCTTCCCCTTTGAACTGTGTGGCTTTTCTACTTTGCTTTTACAAACCCACTCTTCAGGCCAATAAGCCAACAGGGAAGAGAGCCAGGGGTGGACCCTGCAGGAAGGAGGACAAAGGCACGCAGGAAGAGAGGGGGAAGAGGTGAACAGCACAGGGGGAGGGGCCCCGGGCACCAAATCATGACCCTGCTTACCCAGCCTCCCCTTACAGAACTTCCTGTAGATGGGGAGAGGGCAGGCCTTCTGAGCTAATATAATTTAACTCACCTAGTTTTCATCACAAAGTTCTCAGTTTTAAAATAAAAATTAAGACATCCCCTACTTTCCTAAAAAAAAATTGTACAGCTATACCTGTAATAGTAATAATTTTAAAACAAAAACACTATTGGCATGCATGTGTCGTCATTACTTGGGGAGCATGTGTACATTCCTGTTTCCCTTGATCTCTGTGAGCTGACACGTACTGTCACTGAGATTACGTGAGGACCGCGTGAGAATGGCCGTCTAAGGCATTCCCTGGTGCTGCACCCCCACCCGCGCCAGTTCCCAGCGTGCAAATGTACGCAAATCACAGACAAAGCAAGGAACCCTTCTTCATGTCCACACAGTACACATAACTCATGAAACTCTTTGCCCCAACATAAACTACAGGATGAATATATTTAAAAATTCCAAAATTGTTCAGAAAAACTTGGGAGCAGTAGTTCATGGATTTTAGTAACAAAACATCCACTGGTGAGCACCAGGCCCTGCTCTGCGAGGCTGTCACCCACAGAGCACTGCAGCCGCACCCAGGTCCAGGGTCAGAACCGGGATGAGTCCGGGGTGGCGGGTGGAAAAGAGCATAGGTCCGGACTCTGGCTTCAGAAACGAGGAAGGACCATAATAGTTGGATCTACTTAATACTGAGAAAGTCTGTGAGGAATCTCTACCATGTCTATGCCAGTCTCTACCTGTTTACCCTCCGATTCTGTTTCCCACGTCTTGTCCCCACAGGGCTCAGCGGTGAACTCACCCACAATGTCTTCACCTCCACAGCGACTCATGATGGCGGTTAGGGCGAGGGCCCCCCAGATCCCAGCTCTGTTTAGGATCATCCTCTTCTCAAGGTGGTCCCAGCAGGTGCTGTTCTGAGTTGTAGAGCAATGGTGAGGACCCAGCAGAGAATGACCTGAAATCACCCAAACCCAACCCTCCCCATCCGGTTCTGGCCAATCAGAGAAAGCCTCTGTGATGACACCGCAGTTGCCAGCTGAAGAGCTTGTGCTGGGAGGCCGGCGGGATGGGGACTTCCCGGTGACGCAGCCCCGCTGGAGGGGCCAAGGGATGCTCTCCACCGGGGGGAGGCGTGAATCAGGGTCTCCTGTCCTGTGCGCCTGCTGGTGGGAGAGCGGTGGGGATTCTGAGCAGCCACGCGAGAGCTGAGGTGTCACTAACCTGTGTCCCTCGGGATGTTCTGGGTTACAGCCGCCAAGGTTTCTCCAGGCGGATCCTCCTCCCTCCGCCCAGCGCCCTCCCCATTCCCTGGTCTCCATGTGTGGTCAGGGGTCTTTCCTTTGGCTCCCACAATGCACATGGACTCCTCTACATTTTAGGGGACCCTCTCACACCAGGGGGTCTCTGCTGGTGGTAGCCAAGGCGTGCTTGGCCTTTCCTCGTACATAAATCCTGCTGGAAAGTTCCTTCTCGTGCTCTGGACAGCTCCAGGGTTTGCCGGGCGCAGGAGGACGGAGCTCGTGCTGGGGGCAGTGGGCGCCCCGCCTCCTGCTGAGAGTCCGCGCCCGGGGCTCCGCAGGCTGCGGTCAGCGCTGCCGATGGACCTGGAAGGGCACCCCGGACACTGATCATAGCCAAGGAAGCTCTGCCGGCTCCCTCCGTGAATTTTTTGGTTTTTTTAAGTTTAATAATGTCAAGTAGAATGTTGAGGGTGGAACGAGGGAATTGCTGTGACTTAGAAAATGGGTTTCTTTCCCTTAATTTGCTGAACCTTTTCATATTCAGTCCTGTCACATGAACATTCCATGTGTTTACGAGGATCCAGAGAATGAGCCAAGGTCACAGGCCATCACAGGCAGTCATTAGAAGGACACTTTCTTCGTCTCAGAAGAATTTATTTTCTGTGTCTTGGAAGCAACAAGTTAATGGGGGTTCCAGTCCGAGTCAACCACCCTGCCCATGTCAGATGGCCCTCAGCTCTCAGCGCCATGTCCTGCCTCACAGTGACAGTGCTGTGAAAATGGGGGACAGAAGGCCCTGCAGTAGGGAGCTTCCTGGTGCTTTAACCAGGCCTGGGGTCGCCAGGAGCTGGCCCGGGACTCACAGCTGTTCTGGTGTTTTCCTGCTGAACATTAGCAATTTAATAGGACAGAGTATCGGACAGCCACTCTGTGACCACGGCGGTCACCACAGAAAACAAGGCCACTCAGCATCCACAGCTCAACACAGACCAAGCATGAACCTTGTCTGAGCCACGAAAATGACCACGCACACGTCTCTCCCCCATAACGTGAATGACTGAGGCTTCTTGTCCAATTAGAGCTTTGGCTCAGCGCTGTCTCCTTCCTTCCAGGTAAGTTCATTAACATACCCAATTATTTTTTGTTGTTGTTAATACTTACCTGAGGACATTTTTTTTCCATTGATTTTTAAAGACAGTGAAAGGGGGGCGGAGGGAGAGAGACAGAGTGAGAGAGACAAATCAATTGGTTGCCTCCTGCACGTTCCCCAATCAGGGCTGGGAATCAAACCCATGTCCCTTCATTCCAAGGGCCAGTGCTCTAACCACAGGCCCACACCGGCAAGGTCTAATGATCAGTTTTGTGTGTCAGCTAGGTTATAGTCCCCAGTTATTGAGTCAAACACTGATATTTTGTAGATGTGATTAAAGTCCTGACCTGTTGACTGAGAAATACCGGTCATCCTGAATAACCCGAGTGAGCCGGTCCAATTAGTTAGTCTCGGGCGCAGAGCTGAGGTTCCCTGAGGGGGTGGGTTCCAGTTCCGGCGCAGCTTCAGGCTGTGCTGGGAGTTCCAGCTGCCCCTCCTGACAGTTCCGCCCTGTGGATCTCGACTGGCCTGGTTCCCCACAACTGTGTAAACTGATTCCTTGCACAAATTCTCTGCTCAGGCATCTCCTGCTGATTCTGCTACTTTGGTTCCAACACCCTCTTACTGAGATGCCTCCCAGTTCCCAGACAGGGAATTTTCTTCCCTGTCGCAGGAACAATCTCCTCAACTTGTTCATCCGCAGGTGTGCTCCCGGTGGCCTTTGGCTGGCCACTGACAGCACCTCCTTAGGTTGCTGTGAGGACACAGACCGCACTTGGAGCGGATTCCTAGGGCTCGTTAATAGACTTCTCCTGCTGTAGCATCAGTCCATTTCCCCAGGAGGACCTGGGAGCTCAGGGGGGCGAAGGAATGTGTCTGGTTCACAGCTGATGGTGGCAGAGATGAAATGTGACAAGGGCAAGCCAGAGTCCTTCGTGTGGATTCAGAACCCAGTGCCCTGGAATCATTAGGACAGACATTTGACCCTATAGGTGGCCTCATTGTTCTTTTTAGCCTCTGCCGCTGTGAATCAAGAGGTTCCACTTGAGACGTGCTCCACTTACAGGGTAGTACCCCTTTCTCACAGTAAACCACATGTTCCATGCTTTTTCCCAGACCCAGACTGACCTGCTGGTACCTGGCAGAAACTACTCAGGATCTTGCTTGGCAAACGATTGAAAACTTTCTTGACCAATGAATGAAAACTTTCTTGATGGCACTCAAATATTTCACCTATAAATACAAGTTTTAAAAAGTCAACTTAAATGAAGAAGTTAGTGGTAAACTTGCGGGATCAGAATTGTGTCCTGAATGGAGTTGAAGGCCCAGCTCAGATCCCACATCCTGTGAACAGAGCGACAGTCCGAGTGCGGCACTGTCCTCAGCTAGGGGACAGTGGAGGAGCTCTGTCCCTAACCCGACTCGTGTCTCCTCCTCCCGCTCCACCCAGGTGTCACACTATAGACTTTGTTCCAGTTGCTTCTGTCTTCAGGTCATAATTTTAGCATAAAGTAAAATTACTAGTGAATTAGACTCAGATAGAGGAATGCTGTAACACTCTGACAAAAAAACTAATTTGTCACCTTTGTCTGATAGCAAAATTAACTTCTGGTTGGAAAAACCAGCAGGAACTGAGGCTCAGGGAAGTTGAAGCGGCTGGAGCTCCAGGCAGCTCCTTAAAGGGCCCGCGCACGAACTTATCGGACTCTCTCCCTCTAAGCTTGGAGGGGAGGCAGCTCGAGGGGCGCCAGAGACATACAGGGAAGAAATGAGCTGTTTGGCACTGGAGCGAGGGCTGGAGAGGGGGCTTTCTCGGGGACAGACGTGCTCTCAGAGGCCTTTGTTCCTTTGGTGAGCCCTTCCCGGGGGCGGCAGACAGTCTCCATATCTGGGACTCCAGCAACCTGGCTCACACTGGTAGCCCCGCCCTGGTGACTCCCTGAGGCCCCACCCCGCCCCACCCAACTTTCAGGCCCATCCAAGCTGTTGCCACTTGCTTAACCATAGGATTGGCTTGTCTTGGATCCTGCTTCAGGTTTTTCCTAAATTCTTTCAAACAAGCAGCATCTGGTCTCAGCTAGCCCCATACCTCTCGTTAAGTAATACACAGAAACAAACACAGGGAGGCAGCCAAAATGAGGAGACAAAGAAACAGGTCCCAAATGAAAGAACAGAACAAAACCCCAAGAAAAGAACTAAGCGAAAGGGAGATAAGCAACCTAACAGATGCTGAGTTCAAAATACTGCTTATAAGGATGCTCAATGAACTTAGTGAGAACCTCAGTGAACTTAGGGAGGGCCTCAAGAGCATAAAAAAGGACCACTTAGAAATCATGGATACACAGTTAGAATTGAAGGAGGCATTAACTGAAATAAAGAATAATTTACACAGCTTCAATAATAGAGTACGTAAATCCAAGGAGCAAACCATCGATTTGGAATATAAGGAAGCAAAAAATGCTCAATCAGAACAGCAAAAAGAAAAAAGAATCCAAAAAATGAGGACAGTGTAAGGAGCCTCTGGGACAACTTCAAGCGTGCCAACATTCGCATCTTGGGGATGCCGGAAGGAGAAGAGCGCGAACAAGAAATTGAAAACCTGTTTGAAACAATAATGGCAGAAAACTTTCCTAACTTGGTGAAGGAAACAGACATACAAGTCCAGGAAGCACAGAGAATCCCAAACAAGATGAACCCCAAGAGGCCCACACCAAGACACATCATCATCAAAATGCAAAAGGTTCAAGACAAAGAGAGAATCTTAAAAGCAGCAAGAGAAAGGCAGCTAGTTACCTACAAGGGAGTTCCCATAAGGCTGTCAGCTGATTTCTCAAAAGAAACTTTGCAGGCCAGAAGAGAGTGGCAAGAAATATTCAGAGTGATGAAAAGCAAGAACATACAACCAAGATTACTCTATCCTGCAAAGCTGTCATTTAGAACCGATGGCCATATAAAGAGTTTCCCAGACAAGATAAAGTTAAAGGAGTTCATCACCACCAAACCGTTATTATATGAAATGATGAAGGGTCTTTTTGAAGAAAAAGATAAAATATATGAACAAACAGAATGGCAATGAATACATATCTATCAACAATGGAATCTACAAACAAAATGAACAGGTAGAACAGAAACATTCTCATAGATACAGAGAACATTTTGTTGGTTGCCAGATGGGAGGGGGTTTGGGGGAATGGGTGAACAAGGTGAAGAGATTAAGAAGTACAAATTCATTGCTAGACTGACAAACCTCAAAGGGAAAGGGGTTGGGGGTGGGTGGGAAGAAATAAATCAAAGAACTTATATGCATAACCAATGGACAGAGACAATAGTGTGGGAAAAGGCAGGAGGGGGGCGGGAGTGGGGAGGAGACGGTCAATGGGGGAAAAATGTAGAACATCTGTAATACATTTTACATTCAACAATAAAGATTTAAAAAAATAAATATGTTTTTATTAATTTTTTAGAGAGAGAAGAAGGGAAAGAGAGGTAGAAACATCGATGTGAGAAACATGGATTGGCTGCCTCCTGCACGCCCCCTACTGGGGATGGAGGCCACAACCCAGGCATGTGCCCTGACTGGGAATGGAACCGGCACCTCTGTCC